AAACACCCGGGCAAGCTGCTCCGCTCTGGGGCCTCGGGCGCCCCCAGTAACAGAAATGCTGTCACAGTTCACTGCGGTGTTATTCTTTACACAGAGGGTGGTGGGAGTGGGGAACAAGCTAAAAAAAACCGGCCGGATGAGACCCTGGGATCAGTGGTAGTTCAGGTGGGGAGCTGCGTCAGCACGCGTAGGCTGCCGAGGAACAAGTAAAGGTTCATTCCTGCTGGAAAGAGAGGAAAAGAAATACAACGTTTCGGCTGTGGAGCCTTCTTGGGGTGTGAGCTTGTAGCTCCCAACTGACCGCCAGGCCGCAGTCGCGTTTATGTCCACCAGCTGCTGGGCTCCCACGCGGGTTTCTCCTGGAATGTCACAGTTCTCTGTGAAAACCTCCAGGGTCTTTTCCCAAAGCACGTGACAGGACACTCGCAGGTCTTCAACAGTTCCGTTCCAGCCTCGCTGCCCCCCCACCCCCACCCGGGGACTGTCCTGGGGCAGCGAGCTCAAGGCCCACGATCCTGAGTGACCGTGCAGCCTGCGCGTTCGCACAACGCGTGCTCCGGTCGTCTCCGTGGTCGACGGTCCAGAACCTCACCCCAGTTATTAACACGCGTGTGCCGTTCCGAGATGCGCCCCCGGGCAGCAGGCACCAGTGGGCGGGGCCGAGTGCACTTTTGCTCGGACGCCGTGGGTCCCCCTCCCCCTCGTCCCCTCGAGGCGGACTCGCGCGATTTCGCAGCCCCCTTCCCCTGCGCGTGCCTCACTGGACGAGCAGTCGCGTCGCTGGGTGGCTGCGTGCAGCGCTTGCACTCGCGAAGTGGAAAGGACACGGCTCCCAGCCCTCTACTCTCCCCGCGCGTCGCTCCACGGACCTGCAGCCTCGCGGTACACTTTCCGCCCATGACAACACACAGCTCCTCGGAGGCACTGGGATCACTGGGATCACCGGTCCGGCCGGGGGGATACCTTGCTGCTGGCGCGCGCGCGTTACTGCGTGGCCACTTCTCGGCTCCGCGTCGACACTGGCGGAGTTCTGCGGGTCGCACAGCCCCGGGGTCCGGATCCCTCCCGCCCGCTCGGGTTTAGGCTGCGGACCCGGGCGGCGTTGTTGCAATCTCAGTGAAGCTCGCGCGTGTGGGGGGGTGCTGCGCGAGAGCCGCTGGGTGGCCGGGATTCCGCGTGCTTTGCTCGTGTGATTCGCGACCCTCGGGTTGTAGAGGCTGAAAGTTGTACCGACTTGCGTGCATCTTTTTCAGAGCTCGCCTTTCCTCTCGTGGTCGGAGACTTCTTCAGCGGCGGTAGACCAGTTTGGGTTCGGATTCCAGTGCACTGGGTCCACTGTAACCCGCACCCGGGCTGTCCCGAGCGCCAGGCAGACCTGGTTGTTATGGACACTGAGGCCACCGCCGCGGACTGTGTCCGTTTCTCTGTTTGCTGGGAGGTTTAAAAGCGTCCGGAGTGATCCTCGGTTCGGTCCGGTCCGGTTACAGAGCTGTGGGCGGTGTCAGGGACATCTGTCTTGTGTCTAGACCCAGTATAGTTCAGTGAAGCCTCTGGAAACGATCATGTACTCTCATGCTCTAGTGTTGTTCTGAATGAGCAGTGTAAGGAGAGTCCAGGAGGCCTGCTGGAACATCACTGTGTTAGATCTCTCACAGGGGGGTTCGTAAACAACACACTGCTCTCACACACACACACACACACACACACACACTGCTCTCTCACACACACACACAC